TACCCCCTCTCTCACCCTCCCATTTCTTAGTCTACATAGCTCACTATACCACTCTGTATGCCTTTGCGTACCCATAGCTTAGCTCCCACTTATAAGTGAGAACATTTGGTATTTGGTGTTCCATTCCTGAATTATTTCATTTAGAATAATGGCTTCCAGCTCCATCCAAGTTGTTGCACAAGACATATTTTGTCCTTTTTATATGGCTGAGTAGTATTCCATGGTTATATATATACAACGTTTTCTTTTCTTTTTTTTTAAAATTATCCTTTAAGTTCTGGGGTACATGTGCAGAACGTGCAGGTTTGTTACATAGGTATACACATGCCATGGTGGTTTGTTGCACCCACCAACCTGTACATTAGGTATTTCTCCTAATGCTATCCCTCCCCCAGCCCCCCACCCCTTGACAGGCCCCTGTATGTGACGTTCCCCTCTCTGTGTCCACTGTTCTCACTGTTCAACTCCCACTTATGAGTGAGAACATGTGGTGTTTGGTTTCCTGTTCCCGTGTTAGTTTGCTGAGAATTATGGTTTCCAGCTTCATCCATGTCCCTGCAAAGGACATGAACTCATCCTTTTTTATGGCTGCATAATATTCCCTGGTATATATGTGCCACATTTTCTTTATCCAGTCTATCACTGATGGGCATTTGGGTTGGTTCCAAGTCTTTGCTATTGTGAACAGTGCCGCAATAAACGTACGTGTGCATGTGTCTTTATAGTAGAATGATTTATAATCCTTTGGGTATATACCCAGTAATGGGATTGCTGGGTCAAATGGTATCTCTGGTTCTAGATCCTAGAGGAATCGCCACACTGTCTTCCACAAGGTTGAGCTAATTTACACTCCCACCAACAGTGTAAAAGCGTTCCTATTTCTCCACATCCTCTCCAGCATCTGTTGTTTCCTTTTTAATGATCGCCATTCTAACTGGTGTGAGATGGTATCTCATTGTGGTTTTGATTTGCATTTCTTTAACGACCAGTGATGGAATTAGTTCTCTTAACCCTGTTCCCTTTATTCATCTTCCCAAAATATAACAACATTTTGAGTTATACGGCAGTCAGTATACTGGTCATTATAATGATATAAATCTTGTTTACTATAAAACTAAGTGGAATTTTTTGTCCTTTCTTGTACAACTTTATGTTTTCCCTGGAATGACTACCTTCACTTTAATTTGCCTTCTTCCTCATATACATAGCCTCATTTTTTCCCTTCTGTTCTATGAGGGCTACTTTTTTCCTGGTACCAAACTCACTGGAGCCTGATTTCTTTTTGTTTCAATGTGGCCTGGTTGCTTTCCAGGCCTGCTCAGCACAGCTGTATTCCCCAGACTTCTTTTGTGGGTAACATTTGCGATTTTCTGGATGCCATGAACTCCTTGTTCCTGACTTACTCCCGAGTTTTACTGGAGTTCGTCCCCCAGTAGCTTCTTAAGGAAGGATGGAAGACAAATGTGTAGAGTCCTTTCACATCTGAAAACGTCTCTATTCTCCCCTACACTAGATTACTAGTTTGGCTGGAAGTTTTGTATTTAAAATATTTATTTCCACAGAATTTTGAGGGCATCACTCCGCTATCTTCTAGCATCCAGAATTACCATTTTGATTCTTGAGCTTTTTTTTTTTTTTTTTTTTGCTGATTTTTTTTTTCCTGGAAGTATTTATAATCTGCATATGCCAATGCCAGCATCAAAGACTTAAAAGATGTTGTAGAGGAAACAACCCGTTCCCTGCAAGACCAAAGGCAAATATTTCACTATATGCAGATGATATGATTGTATACTTGGAAACACAAAGAGTGTCCATTTAAAATTATTAGTAACAATAAGAGAATAGAATGTATATACAATTGATCTGAAATTTGTTGATATATCTTGGCGTGAGTTTAAACAATTGTTTTCATTGTTTTGGACCTTCAATGATTTTAACCTTGATATATGTGACCTTCAGGTTAGGGGCATTTTACGCTGTTTCTTTGATTTTATTGCAAACTTATAATTCCACATAAACTTAACATCAACTTTTCCAGTTCTCCATAATCTTTTTGGAACTTCTCTTAGGGTCACAATAAAGTTTTAATTGAGGGAGATTTCACATTTTTATTATATAGAAACTTCCTATGCACAAATGGTATGTCTTTCTATTATTTCGAGTTTTTCTTTTTATGTACTCCAGTAGAATTATATATACACCAGAAGCATTATATATACACCGGGAAGCATTATATATACACCAGAAGCATTATATATACACCTGGAGAGGCTGCCCAGCCTTGCTGCAGAGGCTCAGACCTGGTCCTGTTGAATACACATACGCAGATAAAAGGTTGAATTGACATTCATCAGAATGGGAACAGTGAAGGCTCTAGCTAAACAGTAATTATATATATATATAAATTTTTTTTTCTTCGTGATGGAGTGTTGCTGTGTCACCCAGGCTGGAGTACAGTGGCATGATCTCGGCTCACTGCAACCTCCGCCCCCTGGGTTCAAGTGATCCTCCTGCCTCAGCCTCCAGAGTAGATGGGATTACAGGTGCCCACCACCACACCCAGCTAATTTTTGTATTTTTGATAGAGATGGGGTTTCGCCATGTTGCCCAGGCTGCTCTTGAACACCTGACCTCAGGCGACTCACCTGCCTTGGCTTCCCAAAGTGTTGGGATTACAGGCGTGAGTCACCGCGCCTGGCCAGAATAATAAAATTTTTACTGAATTTATTGTTATTTTTTCCTTTTTTGCTGCTATTACACACAGAATACTTTTACCATTATATTTTCTACCTGGTTGTTTGTGTACGGAAATAGAATTAATTTTTGTATATTGATTTTGCACCCAGCCAACTCATTCTAGTCTCTTATTGTTACTAACAATTTTAATGGACTCTGTGTTCCAAAGCACAGAATCATATCATCTACATATGAAAAATTTGCCTTCGTTTTTCCAGCGAATGGGGTCTTCTTTCCTCAACATCTTTGATGCTGGCATGCAGGACATTATAGTCCTCTTTCCTTTTCTTTATTTTTTTTCTGTATACCCAAAGACAACACGTTCCACACACAAATATATTTTTCTTCCACAGACCTTACTGAATTCTCTAGTTTTTAATGTTTCTTGATTTTCAAGTATAAATCATTTCACCTGAAATAATAATCTTTTTTTTTTTTCCTCCTGCCCCCAGTTTTAACCGCCTTGCCCCCTTTGAAGTCTTTTATATCTTGCCTGGACGCTCCAAAACATTACATAAAAACGGTGAGAGCAGGGGCACTCGCATCCATCTTGACTTTCATAGGGATGCGTCTGGCGTTTCAAACACTGTGAGGTTCACTGTGGTTTTCTGAGTTGTTATTAAATTGAGGTTTGCTTAATTCCTGTTTACTAAAAATTTCATTTTCTTTTTTTTTTTTTAATTAGTAATCAATGTTACATTTTGTCAGTCCTTTGGTTGTCTAACGGTGTGACAGGCCGTTGCCATTGCACCTTGTTCTTTTAAGGGAATTTAGCATCCTAGCATCCGATGCTTTCTCAGATGAAGAGCAGGGGCGGTAGGAAAGAAGGACGATTTCAGGAAGGGTGGAAGGCCCAGGACGATTTCGCTCCCCCGTGGATGCGGAGGGTGGGCAGGGCCATCCTTTCTCCTGAAACTGGGGAGAACTACGAAGGGGTGGAACAGCGACGAAATGAGTTCCGAAAATGCACGGATCTCGAACACCTCCCTGCCTGGCTGCCACTGGATGGCGCGCGCAACCTGCGGAACCACAGGGCGATATGCGGCTGCGGGCTGCGAAGGCGGAATTGGAGCATGGACCTCTCCAGGCTTTTCATTCGCTGGTTCTGCAGGTGTCCCGCCTTTTCCATCTCCTCATTGGCTGTCGGTCCCGGGCGTGCGCCTTGCTTAGCACCCCTGGAGAGTGGAAATGGGTCTGCAACAGACCGTGAGGTCCGGCTTTGGGAGGAACTCCCATTGGCCAGTCAAACAGGAGTCCCACCCTCCGGGGCTTCTCATTGGCTGCTCTCTTGATCGCTGCTTTCAGTCTCCCAGCGGCTGGGGATCTGGGTGACCCCGGAAGTGAGTTCTTGGGGTGGAGAGTGCAGTGCGCTGTTGGAAGCTTGTTTTTCTTTCCACCGCTGTGTGCCTCGGGCTCGCGGTCAACGGGGCTGGATGAGGTTCAGAACCCTCCACAGCGGCAGCTGGCCCTGGGGTGGGTTGTGGGGCTCAACAGCCCTCAGTGGAAGATGGCGGGAAGCGATGTCTTTCTTGCACTGGAGACCTGGGTCTTGCACTGGAGACCTGGATCTTGCACTGGAGACCTGCTGCGGGCTGAATGGGAGGCTGGGGTGGAGCCCTGGCTGGGGGTATGGCCGGGGAGGAGACCACACTGGGCGGGTGGGAGGCAGCCCCAGCCGGGATCTTCCAAGCACCGGACCTTCAAGGGCTTCTTGCACCCGCATCCCACAGTAAACAGAATTCGTAGGTGACCGTCTAGAAGACTTGAGTTTCTATTGACAAGTTGATGTGCCAGTTTTCGTATGCATTGAAAGAAATATTTAGTGACTTCAACTTTGAGCTTTTAACCTTTTGGAGCTAGTAATACTTTTTTTTTTTTCTTTCAGGATTCAAGCATTTTATGATTCCTTGCAAAGTTTGTAGGCCTGAGGCAGAGGTGCCTGTAGCGGCTGGTGCATAAAACTGTTTTTATCTCCCAACCATCTCAACGCACACACACACTCCAGGTTGTCCTGAAATCGCTGGGTTCTGACTCATGCGAAACAGACCAGTGGCTACTTATACACCCAGAGAGGCCGCCCAGCCTCGCTGTAGAGGCCCAGACCTGGGTCCTCTTGAATACACATACGCGGATAAAAGACTGAGGTGACACACATCAGAATGAAAACGGGGAGGGCTCTAGATAAACAATAAAAGTGAATGTAGAATTTGTTTTAGAAGCCAGTCCAGGACTGGGACTGGCTACTGAGGCAGTGAGTGGTCTAGTCACAAGGGCTTGCGCCAGGAGGCAGGGGGCAGGGGGCAGTTGGCAGGGCCACATTGGCAACCTGGCAAAAGCGGCTCCAGCAGCGTCTCTTGCTCCATATTTGGGTCACTGTTCTGTTGCTCTGAACTGTGAACCACAAAGTTAACACAGAGCCTTATTGCTATGTCCAGGTAATTTGATAACGTCTATTCTATGATCTCACATGGAGACATAAACAGGCTCAGGCTGCTGGACCAGAAAATCTAGGGAGGAAACGATGAACATCTGAAAGGATACACATCCGAACTGTTAACAGTGGTTACTCCTGTAATATCAAAGTGGACATGAGAAGTGGACGGGCGCAGACTTATTTATTTATTTAGACGGAGTCTCGATCTGTCGCCCAGGCTGGAGTGCAGTGGTGCGATCTCAGCTCACTGCAATCTCTGCCTTCCGGGTTCAAGCAGTTTACCTGCCTCAGCCTCCGGAGTAGCTGGGATTATAGGCAGCCCCCCCCCACCCCACCACTCCCGACTAATTTGTATTTTTAGCAGAGACGGGGTTTCCCATGTTGGCCAGGCTGGTCTCAAACTCCTGACCTCAGGTGATCCACCTGCCTCAGCCTCCCAAAGTGCTGGGATTACAGGCAAGAGCCACCACTCCTGGCCTTATTTTTAAAATTTTACTGTTGACAACATGCTTTTTAAAAACTAATAACATATACATGAAAAAATATAAGCCATGTAAATGAATAATTAGTGATAAGTCAGTCTCCTACTCTAGCGGGCAAGAGTCAACTTCAGTCCCTGTTCCCATTTCCAGGGGGAGCTTCCAAGTGTCTTGAGCGTCCTTCACAACATAGTCTATGCAAATAGGCACTTATGGATACACTTCTTACTTGTAACTCTCTGCATATTTGCATGGTTTGTTTTTGCAGGCAAGCCGATTAGAAAGCCAATTAAAAAACATGTCAGTGAGTACTTAATACGGGTTAAGTAGGATGGGGTTTTGATTTTTTTTCACATTCAAATGGCATCTTAGGTACCACTTCTGGGGGTCCTCAACATATGCACTTCTCATCATTTTCTTAAGAGCTGAGATCTGGATTCTCTCTCTCTCTCTCTCTCTCTCTCT